GAATCGTTGCAAATSTTGGAAAAGGTTTACGGTGATTCAACAGCAAAGTCTTCAAAGACGGTCGTTCTGGATGACCTTCGATATCTTCAACTGATGAAAATATTWAMAAAGGAMCGATATAGTGCTTGAAARTCGTTAGGTAAGTGTTAGAGAGACGGCAACAGAGCTYCACATCTCTCGCCAGTCCGTTCGCATGATTTTGGTGGATATCTTGGTTATGAAACGCGTTCTTGCTCGACTCGTTGCAACAAAGCTGATTTTTTTTCGCATCTAGCCACGATTGGGACCGAATTTAAAGCCAAAAATGCAATGAATACCAATGATCAACCACCGTACGCACTAGATTTGGCGCCGTGTGATTTTTCTTATTGAACAAACTAAATTTGTCGCTTCGTGGAACCYGTTTTCAGACGATAGGAGAGATGAAAACAAAATTCGCTGAAGAAGCTGAAAGCCTTCCCGAAAAGTCTTTATGAAAAATGKTTCGCGTATGGAAAAATCGTTAGWATACAYGTATTACATCTGGTGGTGATTACTTTTAAAGCGAARAAATAATTMTTGAYGATTAATTAAATTTGTGTTTTATTTACAATTTCCGGGTACTTTGTTGTCACAATGTATGCATATTTGTTATAACAAATCATAAAAATCGTTATCAAAGATTTGTAAATAATTTTGGAACTTAAAATTTAGGGGACTTCAGGTAAATATATTTTTGGCATGCGTGTTTACAACAAAAGTGCTGGAGTGCGATTTTATCAGTTCTTTTACACCCAAAAACATTGCAGCTGACGATATGAGGAAGCGTCTAAACTAAATAATTAGCGAGCGCCCTGATTATAATAAAGATATGTCCATACCTACATATGTACAACGTCTAATAAGTAAAAATCTGTTCTTGGTAGAATATTTACATACATATGTATGTATATGTGTGTAGTAGATAATGTTATATAACATAGATTACCATGTAAACATAAACTTTTGAGCAAAAATATTAGAAAACAACAAACAAAATGCTTAGTAAAGACTCGTTGATTATTTAGATAAAGAGTGTGTTATATTAATTTAAAATAAAAAAGAATAGGGGACAACAGTTATAATGGCTATTTTTACAGAGTCTCTCTCTGCAAATAACCGTCTCTATTTTAAGCAGTAAACTGTGGACCAAACTAYAATAATAATAAGTTCATTTTTCTGACTTAACCTCAATTTTTGCGCTATATAATGGAATACATAATCACAATTAATAGAAAAAAACAATTAAAAATTTTTTCTGTTATACTTTTCAGAAAATATAAAAACAAAAATTTTGAACTAGAAAATATTGTACGTACAAAGATCTACGGTCGAATATTAAAAAAAAAAATTTAAAATGGAGGTTTTTAGAGAAAACAAAAAAAAACATGAATTTTAAAATTTTAGTCGTTTTTGGCGTGCCAAAGATAGATTTTTGCGCAAAAAAGAGTTGATAGTTGATAGAATCTGACTTTTGACACCAAGTAATCACTGCTGCAAATTCGAAAAATGCGGTTTGAAGAAAAACTCCTAAAATATAGGCTTATAAATGCTGCAACTCAAAACATATTTATAATAWTCATTTACAATTTTAGTGTATTATTTTTAAGTGCTTACATGGGTTTACGGGTTTCTAAAAATCRAATTATTTTATTATCTTATTAACATCTACAATATTGTTCCAAATTTTCAATTTGATCCGAGCAATAGTTTCGGAGATAACCAGCATAAACACCACCAACAATGTCA